TTCTGTTGGAAATCTGGTCCATGCCATTATCTTGGGATTCTTCTCCTTCCTGTATGCCTATGATGCATAAGTTTGGTCTTTTTATGTTGTCACACAATTCCTGCATATTCCATTCTTGTGATTTCTTAAATTTGCTTGAGTTGTCTAGTTCATCCACTTTATCTGCCAGTCTTGATACTCTGTTTTCCATTTCATTCATCCTATTGATGAGACTTTCTCCTGTTGTTTCTAATTGGCTTACTGAGTGTTTCACTTCCTTCTTCATTTCAGCCTGAGTATTCTTCAATATTTCTAACTCTTCTGAATTCATTCAGAAGTTTATCCCTATCTTCCTTCAGTTCTTTAATTTCTTTGTTTGTGTGTTCTTTAAATTCACTGAGTTCTTTTATCATGTTTATAATTGTTCTTTTGAGTTCCATGTCCTGCATTATCTCTAGGGGGTTCCCATTGTACTCCTCTAGAGGACTATTGGTATTTGGTGGGGATGTGTTATTTTGGTTTTTCATGTTATTTTTTCTCTGTGATTTTGACATGTGAATTTCCTCTGTAGTTTCTGATTCTTGTGTGAGACGCAGGCCTTCAAGTTTAGGTCTACTTTTTGTGAACTTTATATGTCTTTGTGGTTTACTTTTTGGGCATGAAAAGATGGCTCATTTAAGCTTCCAGTTCTTTCTTTTGATTTTATATTGGAGCAGCTGGATTGATTTTGTCTTCAGGAGTTCCCACAGAGGCCCAATTCAGATGAGGGTCAGATGATTTCAGGCTTTCTCCTAAGGTCTGGATCCCTCCAGGAACGATTTTGGCCTCAGGAATTTGGGAGTTGGACTAGCCTGGGAGCCTGGCCCAGAAAAGATGCTGGTCTCAGGCAGCTGGTGGCCATGCCCCAGAGATGTAAAGGCAGATGGGGCTGGAAGAGGCCCCAAGGACTCCTGGGGATTGCACTGAGGTGCTGGGTTGGTCTGGATGCACAGGATCAGGAAGAGGAAAGGTCAGCTCCCGAGTCCCAGAAAGAGGCTGGCAGGTGGTGCAGGCCCAGGGAAGCAGAGGGAGGTGAGGGCAGGTCCAGATCTAGAAGTAGTGCTCCTGGGGCCCAGAAAAGGCACTACATTGGTCTGGATGAAAAGGATCAGGAAGCAGTATTGGTTCCCCAGGTGTCTGGGGCCCCAAGACAAGGAATACGGCAGGGCCCAAACTCTGAGGAGATGGGAGGGTGAATGGGGCTGGGGGAGTCCAGGCGCAGAGGGTGCGATGGACTTACCCGGGAGAGAGGCCTGTGGGGGGGGGGAGCATGTTCACGGTTTTTAAATGAAAATGCTTACTGCACGTAGTGAACCTATAGCACATTAGCGGCAACAGTGGCGGCTGCAGCAGAGCCGTGGTAGGGGGAGACAGACCACAGGTGGACTGGCTCTGCCTGGAAACTGATCAGAGGGTCAGTCCATAAAATCATTTTGATGTTCACAGTGTCTTCCCTTTTCCTGCAACAAGGAATATCTGAGTGGGACAAGTTTCTTCCTCTTCCCAACATCATGAGAGCGGTAATCATCTGCTTAAAAAATATTTTAATATTATATTTTCTTCTAAGTGTATGAGTGTGTTGCCTGCATGTGTGTAAATGCACCTGTGTCGTGCAATGATAGTCTTTCAATTAGGCCAACGTAACCGTTTGTAAGTTAACTGTTTCCAAAAGGTTTTAAAAATTGGCCTTTTCTGGGCACATTGTGTAAGATAAGCAAGAGGAGGGAAAGTCTAGGACGAACCAGCTCCCTGGGTCCTGGTGGGAAGGCCTTGCATGATAAGGTCAAGGTAGAGTGATGGTGGCCTGGCTGTGGGAAAAGCCCTTCAGAAAGTTGGTGCCCAGGGAAGATACTCCATGTCAGCCCCAAATACCCTGGGACCTAGAAGGGAGCCAAGATGTGACGTTTGTTTGCCCTGATCTGACAGGACCCTCTTTTCTTGCTTTCTCTTTTGTGTTGAAATAATAAGACTGGGCAACAGTTACTACATCAACTTGGATGGACAGATGAACCGAGAAACACCCCAGCACAGGCCGGCACTAACACCCTTAATCAGGAACTTGGCCAGGTCAAATATGTGTTCTCTGACAAAACAAGGGACCCTGAGTGAAAACGTCATGATTTTCAACAAGTGTTCTATCAATGGGAAGGTCTACAATGCCTGTCTCCCTTCTCTCCTTGGGTCTAAGAGAAAGTCTGTTCTGCAGACTGTTTTGAAGTGTAACTAAATCTATAAGCCTCTGAAATTCATCTTTCTCTTGTTCTCACAACCCTTTCTATTAACTGGGCAAAGAAAATCCTTCCTATTCAGTTCTAACAGGAACACATTTATTTAGTACCTGGTGGATGCAATCCATTGTTTCAAGCTTTAAGATGTAGATGTAGGGCTGGAGAGATGGCTCAGCTGTTAAGAGCACTGCTGCTCTTGCAGAGGATCCAGGGCTTGATTCCCAGCACCCACATGGTGGCTAACAACCATCCATAACTCCAGTTCCAGGAGATCTGACACCCTCTCTGACCTCTGAGGGCATTGCACAACATGGGTGTACCTACCTACATGCAGGCAATACACTCATTCACGTAAAATAAAAATAAATAATAAATAAAAATTTTTAAATGAATATGAAGATGTACAAGACTTAGTCACCATCCTCAAGGAGTTCCCAATATCTTGAGGAAAAACACTGTACCTAGGATTATAAGCATGTACCACTACACCTGACATTTTTTTGGTGGGAGATATTTTTGAGACAGGGTCTCCCTGTAGTCCCAGCTGGCCTGGAACTCACTATGGAGACCAGGCTGGCCTCTGTCTCAGAGACCACCTGCCTCTGCCTCCTCACCGCTGGTATTAAGGCATGTACACCATGCCCGGCGCTATTAATTCAAAACAAAACAAAACAAAAAGCAAAAAAAACCCACAATTCTAAACATTCTAGAATTTTTGTACTAAGTTTTCCAAATGGGTTTCCTGAGATTGGAGGTTTCTCATAGATCTGGCCTCACCTTAAGTAGAAAGAGCTGGAGCTCAAGCAGATGACCCCTTCTTAGATGAAGAATCTTATTGAATTACATGGCCTGAGGGAATTTAAAGCAGTTTAATTACAAGTCTAGTATGAAGAATCAGAAAAATAAGCTTTTTTTAAACCTACTTAAGGGCTGGAAGCATAACTCGGATGGTAAGTGACTGCCATTAAAGTCTAAGGAACTGAGGTTGATCCCCAGAACCCAAGTGAAAAAGCCAGGTATGGCCAAGCATGGTGGCACACGCCTTTAACCCCAGCACTCAGGAGGCAGAGGCTGGTGGATCTCTGTGAGTTTGAGGCTAGTCTGGTCTACATAGCGAGTTCCAGGCCAGCTGGGACAACAGGGAGACCCTGTCTCAAAAATACCAGAAATTCAGTTTCATTGACAGAAGTTTCAATGACTGAAGAAAGCCTCTCAGAAGAGGTAAGATTTAAATAATTTTTAATCCTGCCCATTAAACAGGAAAGGGAGTGGAATTTCAGTTGCAATAATTGGTATGAGCACCGTTAATTGGGAAGTTGTAAGGCATAAGTTTAAAAATAGAGCTAAGAATTTCGAACTCTTCTTTGTTTGATAATATAGAACTATCTGGAATTAGTTTTTTCAGTTAATGATTTTGAATATTCATTCAAGATGATATGATAAAAGCTGTATTTGAAAGTGATTAATGTGGCAGCCAATAAGGAGATTTAGAGAGAGGAAAGAAAATGACATTCAAGTTATTTAGCTATGAACATCTCGACTGGATGACGACAGTGCAATTGTAAAGAGAAATAGTTTTATCTATAAGTGATAGGACAAAGGACAAATCAATAAAACTTGTTGACTCAGAATGAAGGGGGAAGGTCAGTGGACAGGAATATGATGACGATAATTCAGGTAGTTCAACAATGTGTAACTGAGCAGTTGGCCAAATGAAGAAAGCCTTTATGGGGAAATTGTGAGGAAGGATGATGTGCTTCATTTTCAACATTGTTGAATTTGTAAAGCTGGCGGGATTAGCATATACAGATGTTGAGAAAGCAGAAATGAAGCAGTGAAGTACAGAGCAAAACCAGAACTAGCTACATACACTGGAGAATCATATCTGCTTAGATGATACCTTAAAGCCATGAGGATATAATAATGTTAGAGAGATAGACTGTACAAGTAACAGAACAGTGAGGAAGGGAGGGAGGGAAAGAAGGAGGGAGGGAAGGAGGGAGGGAAGGAGGGAGGGAAGGAAGGAGGGAAGGAAGGAAGGAAGGAAGGAAGGAAGGAAGGAGGGAAGGAAGGAAGGAAAAGATGGGTGGTGTGCCCTGAGGAATGATACCCAATGTTGTCATGTGCATACATGTTCATGCATAGACACACACATGAAACGCTCTTGTAAATTATCCAGCAATTCTATTCCTAGGTATCTTCCCAAACATGAAACAGAAACTCAAACAGGTATATACAAATGTTTATTGCAAACATTATTTACAATAGCTCAAGCAGAAATGACTCATATGTCCATCAACAGATAGACAGATGTTTTAAAGTGGCCCATAAGCATATGGAATATGATTTAGTCATAAATGATCATGAAGTTTGTTATATGCTACAACATGGATAAACCTCGAAAACACTGTGCTAAGTAAAATAAGCCAGACACAAAAAGACAATACTGCATGGTTCTGCATATGGGAAATATCTAGAATGGAAAAATCCATAGGCAAAAAGTAGAAGACGGGTGGCTAGGAACGAGGAAACGTGGGAAGTTTCTGATTAGAGTACTTAAGAAGTGTTGAGGGCTGGGAGTATAATTCAGTGGCAAAGTGATTGCCTAGCATGCAGGAGGCCCTGGCTTGATCCCCGTACTGTCCCCTAAAAAGTGTTACAGATATATAGTGGTAAGAATTGCGAAGCACTGTGGATCTAATTAATGCCATTGACTTTTATACATAAAAACAGTTAAAATGGCAGGTTTTACGTTATATGTACTCCTCTCTCTCTCTCTCTCTCTCTCTCTCTCTCTCAAGAAAAAGCCCCTTTTAAAGCCTTCACTCAGTCTCTGTTCTATTTATTTGATGATAGGTTATTCCTATGATATGGATGGACAGAGGGTACCAGTGTCTGAGGTGAGTAGTCACTGCTTCCTGGGAAGCATGTGGCACCTGAGTGAGGAAGAAAAGAGAGAAGACTCTTTAATTCATTTCAGGCTCCATTCCTGAAATATTAAAAATGTTAGTGGTCTAAAATATAAGAAAATATTACATAAATGACCTATCTTTATTTGAGAAATTTTATGAATAGTTTATTGGTTTTGACTTGATATTTTTCTCTCTGTGTCTGTCTCTGTCTCTCTCTCTGTCTCTCTGTCTCTCTGTCTCTCTCTCTCTCTCTCTCTCGTGTATATGCCTCAGTTGCTCACAATCTATGATCCTTGAAAAAAGAATCAAATAGGGGCTGGGGATATAGCCTTGGTAAGATGCTTGCTGTGCATCAGGATCTGCCACCCCAGTGCTGAGAGGAGGGCACAGAAGGCAGCTCCCTGAGGCTCCCTGCCCCCCAGGTCTAGGTGAATTAGTAAGCTCCTCGATGAGGGACTCTGTCTCAAAAGAACAAGGTGAAGGCCAGGCATGGTGGTGCACAATTTTAATCTTGGCACTCGGAAGGCAGAAGCAGGAGGCTCTCTGGGAGTTTGAGGCCAACCTGGTCTACATACTGAGCTCCAGGCCAGTTAGAGCTACCTAGTGAATTCTGATATGAGCTAGACAGGTGTGTTCATAATTTACTGCATGGTGAGTATAAAAAGGTCTCCAGCCCATGTCTGCTAATGCTGACTGCAAGTAGCCTAACTTGAATAGAGAGGAGCCAAGGTCATGGCCACAAATAGTGAATTTTAGGTTCTCAGATTGGGGCAAAACTAAGCAGGAAGAAAAGTAGATCGATGATCATGAGTGGAAGGCAGGAAGAGTCAGACATGCTGGTAGGTCCAAAATGAAGCGTTCAGACAGAAGACAACCAGAAATAAGAATGTTCTCAACACCACTTACTAACAGGGATCAGTTAGCCACTTAGATTCTCAGATTTGATTATCAGATAAGATTTGGGAACTGGACATGTAGAATTTGAAGATTGCCACTAATCATTCAGAATAGAAGGAATGGAAGAGAGTCAAGAACATCCACCAGACAGTGCTGGTCTCCTGTAGGAAGGATCTTTCCTCACAGAAATGAATGAACAGTCTGGGTCAAAGGTACAAGAAACCCACAGAGTGCCTTTGCCCTTTATCTTGCTTTTTCCCTTCTCATCTTCCTGAGAGATCTCATCATATTCCAGAACTGGTCCCAATGTGACCATCTGTAAAATGTCAAGCTGTTGCTGAGGATTTTGTTCTGGCTTACATGTTCCAGAAAGACAAGGTCGATTTCTCCTACAAGCTGGCTGACTCCAAGTTTTCATTTTATGATAATACTTTGGTGGAAGCAGTAAGAAGCAGGGATCACTGGGTGCACTTGCTCTCCCTCTCCCTCTCACTGTGCCATACTGTGATGTCAGAACAGAAAGTGGAAGGTGAACAGGGGCTCAAGGCCTCATGGACTAAGACTGTGTCAAAAATTTCAGGACTATGGGCTGGGGAGATGGCTCAGTGGTTAAGAGCACTGGCTGCTCTTGCAGAGGACCTGGGTTCAGTTCCCAGCATCCACACGGCAGCTAACAACCATCCTTAACTCCAGTTCTAGGGAATCTGATGCCATCTTCTGGCATCTACAGGCATTGCATGACACAGGCATACATACATGAAGACAAAATGCTCATAAACATAAAATAAAAATTAAAAAAAATGTGTTTTAAGGCCGGGCATGGTGGCACACGCCTTTAATCCTAGCACTTGGGAGGCAGAGGCAGGGGGGTCTTTTTGGGTTTCAGGCCAGCTGGGGGGACATAGAGACCCTTTCTCTAAAAAAAAAAAAAAAAAAAAAAAAAAAAGAGTGTTTTAATTTTCAGGACTTTTTGAAGGTGGAGTGGTTTGATATGATTTGAATAGCTTAACCTAAGAAATAACTTTCTAACAAGAGAGTGCTGTCCAACAATGCAATGGATAATCAAAGTATGTGGTGAGCTTGAAATTATTCAAGTAGAAAATAACCTCTTGGTTTAATAGCAGAGTTGGTCACTGAATGAGGGTCAAACTTGGTGCCCTCCAGGGAGCTTTGGATATTGAGGATCTGTAAGTCTTGTCACAGAATCTATCTGAATTATCCTCAAGATAGTCCCATTGTCCTTGATAAGACTTCTGCAGGACGAGTTGAATTCTCTTGTCACTTTATGATGTAAAAATATCCCCCACGTGTCTTAGTTTCTTTGGTACCCAAATGTGACAAAATCATCTGTTAGTTTACCCAAATTTTTAAAAAATATGAGAAATGACTGATTATTTAATACATTTTTTTAAGAATTCTTACAAGAAAGTATTTAGACGACCAAATGAGTCATATCCTCTAAATTTAATACAGTTAATACCACCCTCAACACTTTATATTAGTATGCTGCTTTTCAGTTTTACAAATCACTTCTGTTTGTATGATCTTCTACAATTCTTATAACAGCCCTCAGAGGCAGGCAGACAGGAAAAAAATTTTTTCCTGTTTTACAGAGAGGGAAACTGAAGTTAAAAAGATTAAGTTACTTGCCTAAAACCATATATTTAAGGACAGAGATAAGAACCCAAATCTGTCTCCTGGTCCTGTGAACTCCCACCCTGCTACATGCTTCTCTGGGACTGACATCCCAACAGGCAGCTTTGAAACATATTTGACTTCTTCATTTATACATACATATAGTTGTTGCTAGTTGTCCAGCAGATACACCTTAAGTCTGATTTAAAATAATACTTACCTACCTCATTCACAAAGATAAGTCTCTGATGATGCCTGTTTTAAAATTCAAATGCCCTTCAGAAAAGAAATAATCCAACATATACCTTGTTTATAATAATCTTACAGAAGAGTTCCCAAAAATGCTGAGTAATATCAAATTGAAAGACCAGTTCAACAGAGTGAGGCATTTAGCTTCCAGGGTTAGCTGAAGGGGATAACTCTCATCTCTCTCTCTCTCTCTCTCTCTCTCTCTCTCTCTGTATGAGAGAGAGATTAATAGCTATGCTATATATTGCTTACTAAACAATCATCAGTCTTACCGTCTTACTTAGCAGTATTTAAGAATTCAATTTCCTATACCCTCTGCCAAGATTTGTGATTCTGGATTCAGTATATTTATATGGGACCAAGGAACCCACATTTTCACCATAGTCCTTGAGTCATCTTTACCCACTAAAGTTAGCAAGCAACTGCTTTGTTTATGTATAGTGCATGTACCAATTAACCCTCTCATCGATTGAAAATATTGGAAATGAAAATAGATAGACATGTCCTATGCAGCCTGCCCTTTAAAGGCCAGACTTGGAAGGAAGTTTTGAAGAAATATGTCCCCTCTGCATGCCAACTTTATGTAAGCCACGTGGAAGATGGTACCACTTCTGGGTGGACTTCAGTTGGTCATTTCTGCAGGTGTGCACAGACTACATACAAATAGGATTCCAGATAGATGCTTAAGCATTGTAGATTTTGTACAGGAAGGGGTACCCAATCCCCTGGGATACTGAGACAATTGTACCAGAGAAATTCATGCTGCCTTGCCCTCTCACTTAATTTGGCCTCATACTGAGGAAAAGAAGGCCATTTTCATTCTTGGTCTTTACTAGCTAGGAGCTTTAGTCTGTGCCTTGGAATTAAGAAACTAAATGTGGTTGAGTATAGTGGAACATACCTGTAATCTCAGCCATTGAAAGGTAAAAGGATCAAGAGTTCTAGGCCAGCCTTGGCTACATAGCAAGACCCTCTCTCCAAAACAAAATAAAAGCAACTAAATGCAATTCTGTATCAGGGTATTCCACAGGGAATGATTCTGAACCCATAGAAAAACTGGTTCCAAAAATTCCTCTGTCAGTCTCACCAGATCTCACCATATGACTATCCTGTGTGGCCCTCTAGTGAGGTCTCAGCCTCCAAAGGTAGCAGAAATAAATGTCACTGTGTACAGCCCCCTGCCATCTTTCAATGACAAGTCCTTGTGACAGTAGGCCTATATGATTACCTTACTTAATTTGCTCATCTTTAGTGCGGACACCTGAAGATCAGATCATGCTGTTCTGCAAGGGAGCAGACACCATCATCTATGAGCTGCTTCATCCATCCTGTGCATCCCTTTGTGATGTGACCATGGATCATTTGGATGTGAGTGTTTAGGTGACAGGACATGGGCGAACACTGAAAACGGTGTGCTATGTGAAAAATCAGGAAGGTGACATTTTATGGTTCAGCTTATGAAACATCCAAATTGGGCAAATCTACAGAGATAGAAAGTAAATTTGGGCAGGCAAGATGGCTCTGTAGGAAAAGGTGCTTGCCACCAAGCCTGATGACCTCAATCAGGACCCACACAGTAGAAGGAGAGAACTGACTCCTGCAAGTTATTCTCTGGTCTCCATGTACATGCTGGGGCACATACACACACACACACACACACACACACACACACACAACACATACACATATGCAATAAATAAGTAAATAAGTAAGTTTCAAAATTTAAGAAAGTAAATTAGTGGTTGCTGGGGGCAGGATAAGGACTGGGGAGTGACTACTAATGGACATATGTTTCTTTCTGGTTAATGAAAACATTCTGGAATAAAATAGTGGTGATCATTTATATAAATTTTGTGAATTATATACTGAACTGTATATTTTAAAGGGTTGAATTTTATACTATTAATAACATCTTAAGTTTTAAAAAGTCAATTAAATACCCTACACAAAGCCGTCTTTCCACCTCACACTTGTTCCCAAAGGCTAGTGTTCTTATGGACTACTCTCTTACTTTCTGGAACACAGGACTTAGCAAACCCTCTCAGAAAGCATTTCCCCAGTCTGGCTTCAAAGGGTGGTTATAAAACTATTTCAGACCTTTTGTTATATTTCCCGCTGGCAACTTTAGCAGACACTTAGAATGGGACTCAACTACACTAAACTACATCACTGATGACAAACATGTAAGAGTCGAGCTCCAACAACCCACTTGTGCAAAAATACAGCTTCAGGCCTGCTGCAACAGGATCAGAAAACAGGTCACATAAAAATAGGTGGCAGGTAGGAGTTGGGCTCCAGGCCCTGGGTTGTCCACTGAGTACTGAGAGAGAATATATACAAGTAGGGACAAAAATATTTGCACACGATGCAGAATGACTTGTCAAACGCATGAATGTACCTGCGGTATATTGTTAGTTAAGCTTTTCAAGTCCTCTTATATGTGTCCAGTATAAAGCTAGTTTCTCCCACCATCATTTCCTTCTTAGAGAATTTTCTCTGGTCATTAAAATAGAAGGAAGAGTTAAGACATGGCTTTCCCTAATCTATTGCCTTTATGCACTTACCACCTGGTGGTTAACAGCAAACACTGAGAGGTTATATAGTGAAGAAGGGCAAATTTATGTTTTCTCTGATCTTCTAATACCAGTAAAATTATCTTTCAGTTCACTATAGCAGTAATACTGTAGAATTATTGTTGATTTGGAAGTTCTTAGTACATAAAATTTGCTTCCAACCCATCCTTAGATGGATGAGTTCTGCCCCAAAACTGTGCACATTCTCCCCCAACCCTCCTTATGACCAAAAGTATACTTTTTGCAAGATGGACGCCTGTGGTCAGTTAGACTATATCTCTGGCCCAGGAATAAACACATGCTAACTCACCAAGAACATTTCCACTGTGGTCTCATTAACACAGTTCTCTATGGCTAATCTGCTGAGCAAACCATTTGTAGACAAACACGCAGACGTGGCCTGAATAAGCTGTCCCTTAAGTTGATGAGGAAAAAAAGGGAGGTAAAAATATTGAATGTATCCTCGCAAAAAAAGAGTAACACCTTTGATCATTAACACCTTTGATCATTTTATGACAACTCCTTTCTACTTCATTATTCCATTCATTTCCGTACCAAAATCATTGTTATCATCTCTGTAAGGGGTGTATTAGTATCCCAAGCTATTCAAAGAGAAGCCTAGAACACATGGTTTTTCCTCTGAGTCACATAATAGATTATAGGTAAACTATAGGCCAACGCTGAAACTTGAAAAATATTCTCAGTCTTCTAGCTTACCCCATCCATGGACATTTTGTTTGGTTTTGGTTTTTGAGACAGGATCTCATTATGTAGCCTAGGCTAGCCTGGAACTTATAATCCTCCTATCCTAGCCTTCCGAGTGCTGTGGTTAGCAAAATGAACAGCATACCTAGCTTCCTTGGGACATCAAGAGTTGTCTTCTGCTTAGACTAGGTACTAGCCCCATAGTACTAACCCTGAAACCCTAGTTTACAGACAGATGGAACCTATGGAGGCAGTCTGCCACTCCCTTAGCTCAGCCTTACTCAGCTCAGACTTGGCAAACATACATATATTTCAGGATTTTGCTAGTGAAGGCTTTCACACCCTCATGGTGGCTTTCCAGAGTTGGATAATGAATTTTTCAATACTTGGATCGTGAAGCACAATGAAGCCAACCTGTCTTTGGAGGATCGAGAAAGAAAGTTAACTGTGGTCTATGAAGAAGTCGAAAGAGACTTGTTGGTGAGTGTGGAGGAGCCAGAAACAGCCTGAGGCAGAGATTGGAGTGCTGGCAGACAGTAGACTGGGTAAGGGGTCTAAGAGTGGCTTCCAAATGATCGGCACGTGCAGGCTTTCTCTGGGAGGAAAGATAGGCAGGCTCAACCGGACAGCCCCAGTTTTGTGCCAGATTGACCGAGTACTGGAATCCAGGCTGATGTGGTATACCCAGACCGTAAATCCATAACTTTAAAAATGCACTGTTTTAAATGTTTCTGCTGGTATTTCTTATCCCAAAGCTTCTCATAGAAACTAAGCAATCTGGGGTTAGAGATGTAGCTCAGTTGAGAGAGTGCTGGCCTAGCATAAAACAAAGTCCTAAATTCTGTCTCTAGCACAGCATAAAACTGTTTGTGATAACCCAGTTTAAGCTCATTCTCAGCTGCATAGCAAAATCAAGTCCAGCTTAGAGACCCTATTTCAAAAAAGAAAGGAAGGGGGAAATGTAGAGAGGAAGGGGGAATGGAAGAATTTATCTGGGAGAAATCAAGATATAAACAATGTACAGATTAGGTAAGTCAAATGATGAATGTCATATGACAAAAATAATTTACTCAAACAGTCAACATTCCTTAAGCGCTGTCCGTGAGCCACGGAGCCCACAGCAGTAGAGAAAACAGGCAAGAAGTGACATTGTATGTTGGGTGGTGAAAATGTTACAGGAAAAAAAAATGATGTCAGAAGAAACAGCCAGCAGTGCTCGGGCTTGGAGGGGCAGAGGTGCTGTTGCTGTTTTTAAACAAGGCAGTCTTCACTGTGAAGGAGACCTGAGACGAGTCCTGAGGAGGATGACAAGCCAAGTGTCTCCCTGGCTGTTCAGATGAGCTTTTCATACAGTTAAGTAGTGGCAAGAGAAAAGCCCCTGAGTGGAGCTGGTTAAAGAGCAGAGCACCCAGTGTAGCTGGAACAGGATGAATGAGAGAGGCCAATAAACGGACATGAGACAAAGGAGAGGGCCCTCGAGGGCCAGTGTGAGGACTGATGGTGAATGATAGGAAACCGCGGAGGGTAAAAGCAGAGACAGCGGTTAAACCATCACTCTGGGGCTGGAGGGATGGCTCAGCAGTGAAGAGAGAGTACTGCTCTCATGAGGACTAGAGTTCAGTTTCCAACACCATGTCAGGCAACTCACACTATCCCCAGGTAATCTAGCACCCTCTTCCAGACTGTGTGGGCGCCTGCACCCCCATGGGCACATGCCCATGCACATATATACATAGTTAAAAATAAAAAATAAGGGCTGAAGTGATGGCTCAGAGGTTAAGAACATGGGCTGCTCTGGCAGAGGATCTGGGTTCAAGTCCCAGCACCCACATGGCCACTAACAACCATTCATAGCTCTAGTTCCAGGGGATCTGATGCCCTCTTCTGACCTCCACAGGCATTGTACAACATGGGTGAACTCATACACACATATAAAAAATAAAAATAGGGGCTGGGGAGATGGCTCAGAGGTTAAGAGCACTGACTGTTCTTGCAGAGGACCCAGGTTCAATTCCAAGCACCCACATGACAGCTAACAACTGTCTTTTACTCCAGTTCCAGGGGATCCGATACCTTCTTCTGACCTCTGCTGGCACTGCACAACATGAGTGCACTTACATACATGAAGCAATACACTCATAGCCTGAAAACCTTGTATCTTCCACACCCCATGTTCTCCCACATTTTGACACCTTAAGAACTAAGAAATAAGAGGCTGGAGAGATGGGTCAGTGGTTAAGAGCATGGACTATTCTTGCAGAGGACCTGGGTTCGATTCCCAGCACCCACATGGCAGCTAATGGCTGTCTGTAACTCCAGTTCCAGAGGAATCTGATGCCTTCTTTTGACCTCTGCAGGCATTGCATGACACAAGTGCACTTACACATATGCAGGCAAAACACTCATACACATAAAATAAAAGTAATAAATAAAACATTTAAGAAAAAACAGAAAATAGCCTGGCGCATGCCTTTAATCCCTTGGGAGGCAGAGGCAGGCAGATCTCTGTGAGTTCGAGGCCAGCCTGGTCTACACAGTGAGTTCCAGGTCATCTGGGACTACAGGGAGACCCTGTCTCAAAAAGACAAAAAACAACTTTTTTTAAATGTTAAAAACCTGGGGCTGGAGAGATGGCTCAGCAGTTAAGAACACTGGCTGTTCTTGCAGAGGACCCGGGTTCGAATCCCAGCACCCACATGGCAGCTAACAACTGTCCGTAACGCCAGTTCCAGGGAATCCGAGGGCAATGCACAACACGGGTGCACTTACCTACATGCAGGCAATACACGCATACACATAAAATAAAAAATAATTTTAAAATATTAAAAAAAAATTTTTTTTAAGTCACTCTGGACAGACCGAAAGGAGACTGAGGTAGCTGCCACAGTACAGAAGTGTGTTATCTTAAAGGGAGAGCCGGCAGAATTTACTGAAGGGTTAGATTATGGGCACAAGGAAAAGAAGTTAAAATGACTGTATGCATGTATTGCCTGCATGTAGGTAAGTGCACCAGTGTCATACAATGACCTCGGAGGTCAGAAGAGGCTGTTGGATCCCCTGGGACTGAAGTTACGGACAGTTGTTAGCTGTCATGTGGGTGCTGGGATTCGAACCTGGGTCTTCTGCAAGAACAACCGGTGTTCTTAACCACTGAGCCATCTCTCCAGCCCCCCGCCAATTTTTTAAAATCAGACTGATACAGGACGGCTCTACTATAAAAAGAGAAATTACTGACAGCAAAGGAAAAAAGTAGAAATCACAGCTTTTCTCTAAGTCAGTCTCTCCAAAGACTGAGTGAGCAGAAATCACTCAGTCTGTCCACCGACCCAGTCATGGGACCCATCTCTGTTAGCACCTTAGGGTCAATAGAGAAAGAGCACAGTGTTGGACCAAGATTTTTTTTTTTTATCTTTTTTGAGACAAGGTCTTCCCGTAGCCCCAGCTGGCCTGGAACTCACTATGTAGACCAGGCTGGCCTTGAACTCACAGAGATCTGCCTGCCTCTGCCTCCCGAGTGCTGGGACTAAAGGCATGTGCCACCACACCTGGCTTGAACCAAGATTTTTTTAATCTAGTGAGGGGAAAAGTCCTGAAGACTTTAGGCAGTCTCAGTGGGGACAAGTAATACATACACTCACTCATACCCTTGTAGGGTTGTGGGGAAAACTGGAAATGTCTCTTCTAGGACTGGCCATGTTTGGGACCAGGAACTGTGTGATGAAGCAAGGGAGACGTGAAGGTGCTGAGGAACAGATGGCTTCGTAGTAACACGTAGCTTCCTGTATGATTCGAGCAATCCCTTCCCTCTCCAGCCTCTAATACTGTGTTTCTAACTTTGATTTCAGTGTATGATTAAAAATTAGGGTGGGGGGAGGGGGTTAAAGAGATGGCACAGTAGTTAAGGGTACCTTATTGCTCTTGCCCAAAACCCAGGTATGGTGCCCAGCATTGACACGGCAGTTCACAACCATCTGTAAGTCTGACTGATCCTAGTTACTCTTACATAACTCCGAAGTCTGCCAAGTAGACACTCACTTGTGAATATTTGAATACAATCTTCCCTGATTCACGAAAAGTGCATTTTTATCTGTATTCAAGATGAACATGGGCAAATGTGCTCTGAGCCTCCTCTTAGTTCCTGTGTAACTACACACTGTGAAGACCCTGTCCTGTCTCTGTCTGTAAGCACCAGCCAAAACGAAGCCCGTTCTCCCTCCCCTCCAGAGACAGCTGTAAACACTGCCTACTCCTGTAGGATATTCAAGGATGGAATGGATGAAATGTTCATAGTGGAAGGCACGGACAGTGAAAGAGTTCGGTAAGAACTCAGGTACAAGTGGGAGAGTAGCCTCAGCCTGGACCCAAGATTTCCCAACTCGCCTTATCCCCCAACATGGTTCCCTTGCCACCGGAAGATCTTGAGAAGAAATGAAGAACAAAAGAACCTAAGATACTTAAGATGACTTTACAATGAAGCATTCAGGCTAAAGGGATTGGGGTGTGGGGTGGGAGCATAAATGTGCGTAGCTGGTGACCCGTGAAAGCGGAATACCTCAGGAGACAGTGAGTCTGAGGCTATGTTCTGTAGAGGCCTGGGGTCATCCTTGTCCACTTTCACCTTGGACATGTTTTTTCTTCCTAAGCTAGGGAGCTTCAGATCAAACTCTGACCACTACTTTTGGCTTTCAGGACAGCAAGGAGCAGATGAAACCTGAGTCTCTACCGGAATCATATCCCATAAACATTTCCCTTGCCAGGAAATCCAAAATGCCTTTCAAAGTACAGGAAGAGGTGCCCAATGGCAGCTATGGCTTCGTCATCCCTGGCCACAGTCTGGTGGGCAACACAGAGCTACAACTATGTTTTCTTATCCCAAGGAATTCCTTCCTAGGTCCAGCCCAATTCAGGAAAATTCCAACACCCCGTCCTTTAGTCTATGAGTTGCTCTATTCGCCCTCCCTCAGTGCCCTTGCCTGGAAGACATCTTTCCCAAGGCTGCTCTAGGAGGAGTACATTAAGAAAGGGGAGCCAAAGCAAACTCCTTTATTCACGTTTTTCCCTGCTGACGTGGTCTGCTACTCAGGGAAGAAAGAAGTCAAGTAGGACAGGACTCTGAGTCCCTTGGCCTCATGGCCTCATAGACTATTCTGACCCAGGGAGAGGCCATAAATGCTTTCCCACATGTGAGGGCACCTAGAACTGACTAAAGGGGGGAGGCCTCCCCTGGGGGTAGAGCACCTTGTGAGTAGCTAGGCCTGCCCATTGAAAGACAAGAGAGGACAAGCGAGGGGAAGGCATATGGGAAGGTCTGATCCTGACAGTCTTTGGGGACAACCCATTGAGTAAGTGTGTCCTGGCTTTTGCTCTACAAAGGAACCTGGAATTGGAAATGGTGCGGACGACATCCGTGGGCAAAGGGGTAATCTGTTGCCAGATGACACCACTTCAGAAGGCCCAGGTGGTAGAGCTGGTGAGGAAGTACAAGAAGGTGGTGACACTGGCCATCGGGGATGGGGCCAATGACATCGGCATGATCAAAGGCATGTGAGGGGAAGTGGGCAGTAGTCCTGGTCCATGGCTTACCCACTTCCTTCCTCTACGGGCAAAACCCGTCTGAGTGTCACTATGTTGTTGGCTCATATGGCTACCTAGTATATGCGTTATACTTATGCTGTTTGCAAATGCATTCATACTCCTCTACATGGCACTCACTTAAATTACCATCAGTCCATGTCCACAGGCATGCATGCATTCAGATTCATTCACTTGTACCATAAAGATCAGTGCATACACAGATACCTATAACCCACATGAACACATGCATACCTTCACATAACAGCAGGCTCTGCAACTACCATACCACCTGTCTGAGATGGTATTGGGCTCACAGAAGGAACCTTTGTATTGGAGTCCCAGCCTGTTCCTTTTTTTGAAGTCTGTAGGCTATGAGGACCAATGGCTGTGTTCCTTGGGACCTGCTCTGGCTGCCCTGGCTGGAGAATACTGATGACTTCACGTCAATAGAAGCAAATGGCTAAATTTTTCTGGTTTAAATTTTAAGTGACTGTCTAGCCACTTGTATGGACAAAAATCTAGGTGTCCTTTAGTACTGCTTCTCACCATACAGGAAACACTAGTAGATATTCCAGAGTCTAGCTCAATGCTAGGAAGTGTTCTTGCCTTGTTTCCAGTTTCTAGAACCACTCCAATCGTTAGGGCTTTAGAGGTTTCAGTTACCCTATTAAGTAATGAGTATGCATGAGCTCAGTGCATTTGAACAGAAGAATAGTGGATTGCCACAGATTGAAACTTTTAGGGACTTCCGTCTTATATTCCATCAAATACAATCTTTGCTTTATCCAGCAAAAGTCACTTAAGTCACCTGAAGAGTTTATTCTAGCTAACAAAATATGTATGTTGTGTTCTCCTCTGAACTTTTAGGATTTTAACCCCTTAGATAAATATGAGTAATATTGAAAAATTAATTATGAAAAATATTGAAAAATTAAATACGATTTTAACCCCTTAGATAAATGAGTAATTAAATATTGTGTTAGATTGGCACCCATCCTGGATTTTTTTTATTTAAGTAGCTTCCATGGATGTCAAGAAATTTCAGTCTCAATATCTAGACACTGAGAAAGAGCCCAGATGGCTAGAGTAGGGGCAAGGGACATCGGGAGCAGCCTTCCAGTCCTGGCTGTGCCAAGCAATCTTGAATCATGGCGTCGGAAACCGAGTGCAGAGGAAGAGCTGTTTTCTCACTGTGGGAGAAGGTCAATCCATCAAGAAGAAAAGATTGCACTAAGAAAGAGCCATTTTAAATGGGCCTAACAGTATTTCCCAAATGTAAAATAAAAGACTCTTACATTATCATCCTAGTATATTCCCTTTACACTTCCCAAAGCAGGAACCCAGCAAACAGTCTCTGTGTCTTAAAAACTTCTGGGGTTTCATTGCAGCTGCCCACATTGGGGTTGGCATCAGCGGCTATGAAGGGATGCAGGCCCTTTTCCTTCTCCCGGTTCCACTACCTGCAGCATCTACTCTTGGTACGTGGCCGATGGTCCTACAGTTGCATGTGCAAGTTTCTCAACTACTTCTTCTACAAGAACTTTGCCCTTTACCCTGGTGCACTTCTGGTACGCCTTCTACAATGGGTTCTCTGCACAGGTAGGGGAGTAGTAACGATCTCCATTCCAGTCAACTGGACCTTCTCTAGTTTTTCTCCTCCAGAGACCAATGCATGAAATGTTGCCATCTGTCTCTGCCCCACGCTGATCCCATCTCTCAAACCTGCACTGACCTCATATTTCCAAATCATGATAATTCTGTTGTTGGCTCCTAGCTTCAAAACTCTCCCAGAACATTTACCCTAGATTTTTCAAGCACATATAATGAAGAAAAATTGGTGGATATGGGAGTTTTCTTAGCATCCAAAGTCATATTTTTGGAGCAGGCTAAGCCTCAAGGAGCCTCTTGGGTCATGCCAGACAGACTGTTATGATGTTTGCCTGTAGCTTACAACTGCAGCTTCCCTTTACTTCTCTGTCTTGACTGCCCACATCTCTGCCCCAATACACACAAAATTGTTGCTCTAATTAATTCCACATTTGAATATAAAATCTCCACAATTCAAAAGAAAGAGTGGATTTAGATGTTATAAGAATAGTCCCTCTTCCTATGAGAAGTTTTTCAGGAATCTCCAGAGGAATCCCAAGAGAAATAACCCAAGGAATGATTATTCTGGGAGATCCCTACATCAGTCAGCAGAGAGGGTAGATCAGTATACTCCCAGGGCCTAGCCAGGTCAGTCTGGTCCATGAGAGTTGTGTGTGTGTGTGTGTGTGTGTGTGTGTGTGTGTGTGTGTGTGTGTGTGTGTTGCCTGTAAATTGTTTCTGGCCTCTTGTGGATAGTGAGGAAAGGGACCCTCTCTAGGTCCCAAGAGAGAACACCCAGCTGGAGAAGAGTCATTGTGTCTTTTCTCCTTGCCAATGTTAGGAAATGTTCAGGGTCACAGCTTGAGAAAAGAGCCTGAAGGTTTACTTGCCTAGAAGTGCAGGTGTATGACTAGCCTTTCCTGGAAGTCATTCAGGGTGCTTTCTGCTCCAAGAGGTACAGTGCAGGCTGTGGTAAGGTTGTTTCAGAACAGCCTTAGAAGCCTAGTGTGGCCTTGCCACAGTATGAACTTTGGGTTCTAGAATAAAATCAAAGAAAGATTGAGGCTCTCCATCAGATTTCTGGAAACGAAATCAAATCTTATTCTTGGTTTGTAGATGGTGGGTAGGTAGGGGACCAGGAGAGGGGGCTGCCTTGGACCTAGGAGGTAATGCTGGGGCTTTGGTGAAGAAAAGAATCTAAAAATCTCCTTGATATTCTTCCAGAAAGCTTATGATACCTGGTTTGTCACCTTCTATAATCTGATCTACACTTCCCTCCCTGTACTGGGCTTGAGTCTATTTGATAAGGTAAGACCTAGAAGCAAGCCTCTTAGGCATGAAACCCTTGGATTCAATGAGGAAGGAAGCGAGCTAAGCTCTACAAAATCAAGTGTTAAGGGAATAATTTCTTGAGCAGGAGCTAATGACCTGAACAGTATCATAAGAGTATAGAATCCTCCTTCCACAGAAAATGTGGTTAGTTTTAAGAAGCCAGATTTTCCTGTCTGTTTCATCTTTGTATAGAGAAATGCGGAAATTATTTTGTACAGTAGATTGCATATAAAAGTAGTGAAAGGAAACAGAGCTATTTAGCCAGGACTTGATAAAACAAGGAGCCTACAGAAAGGAGAAGCCCAATCAGAGGTAAGGAAGGATGAGACTAGTCACCTCAGAAAGGCCTAGGCGGGAGTTCTAAGGCCAGGAATAATAGCAGGTATCGCACATTAGGTATGATCCCTTGTGTCACAGGAGTCAACCCAGGGTTCAGGGTCTGTTCCTGTCAGAAGTTCCCAGGCATTAAGAGTCCTGATGCAGGGGCTGGAGAGATTGCTCAATGGTTAGAGTACTGGCTGCTCTTGCAGAGGACCCAGGTTTGGTTCCCAGTACCCACATGGCATCCTAATTCCAATCCCAGGGAATCCAATACCCTTTTCTGGTCTATATGGGCATTGCACAACATGGGTGCACTTACATACATGCAGGCAAAGCACTCATACTCACAAAATAAAAATAATTTTTTAAAGTATTTTAAAGTCTTGATACTGGATTGGAGAGATTGCTCTGTGGTTAGAGCACTGGCTGCTCTTGCAGAGGCTCTGGATTCAGTTCCCAGCACCCACATGGTGGTCAACAACCATCTCTAACTCCAGTTCCAGAAGATCCCTCTTCTGGCCTCTATGGGCCTTGCATGCACATGGTGTACTTAATATACATGCAGGGAAAAACATAAAAATAAATCCAAAAAATTTTAAGAGTCCTGAAACCTCTCTACATTCCTCTTCTACCCGAACTTACCCGAACCTCCATTGCTGGGTATCACAGTAAGAAAGAGTCCCTCAAGAGAAATAAGATAGATGATGATCGTGAGATTGTGATCCCCTGCCTCCATCAGGGTAGTAGCGCTGAAGGAAATTCTCCATGAAGCAATAAAATGGATGGTTATTCAACAGTACTATCCTGTCTCAATAGTCTAGTTCTAGGGATCTGCCTCTGAAGCGATGCCCAAGCTTTGTTATCCCAAGTTTCATATTTAAGAGATGAAGATGAGCCAATATCACCCACACAGAGAATTTTCCAGTCCGGTAGCTATGGGAATGGGGAGAATATCATAGAATATCAATGCTTCTGAGGGACTAACTAACCCTAATTGGTTCCCTGTCTCCCCCTACTGGCTTTTGACGCAAAGAGTATTTAACTAAAGGAAGACTTATGCCTGAGGACTTAGGTCTTGGTGCCTCCCCCATCCCAAGCTCCAGCCTCCCTTCCAGTTCCCCCCAAGCCAAATTACCCCCTTTCACAATTCCCCAAGTGCCTCCCATCCTTCTGGCCTCCCTAGCTTCATCTACTTCCTAGATCCTTACCTAGAGAAGACTGTGGTTACTGCTCTGTTCTCTGGTTCAGCTTCTCAAGTACTCTATAAGGAAATGCCTGGGCAGCTTGGCAGAAGACTCAGTGAGGCACAAAATCTCCACTCAGATGGAGATGGGACCTTCTATGGGAAAACTTTGAGCCTTCCTCCTTACCTTCTGGTACTTCTAGGATGTGAATGAAACATGGAGTCTACATCTCCCAGAGTTGTAGGAGCCAGGCCAGCACAACCTGTATTTCAACAAGAAGGAATTTGTGAAGTGTTTAGTGCATGGGATCTACAGCTCCTTAGTGCTGTTCTTTGTCACCATGGGGACAACTCTCAACTCAGAGCGCAGTGATGGGAAGGACATATCTGACTACCAATCCTTCTCCCTGATAGTAGAGACTTCCTTGATCTGGGTGGTGACAGTGCAGGTGTGCCACTTGTGGTGGGATAACGGGATTGGGTAGGGAGCCTGTCTGGAAAGAGAGGGAGATCAAGAGGGAAGGAGGGTGGAGAGGGATCATCTTCCATTACAGAGCTGAAGAAGGGAGGTGGCTGACAGGTCCCAGGTTATAGAGTATTGCACATAAACTAGTGATTTTCAGATTGCCCTGAAGACAACCTGCTGGACAATGATAGACCACACCTCCACCTGAGGTAGTCTGGGTCTCTACTATTGCATCTTACTTTTACTGCATAGTGATGGCTTGTGTCTAATGTTCCCCAGCACCTTCCATTTCCTAGGTAAGACCCTGCCCAGCAGGTGTTTGGGGGGGGGTGGATGCTAATCAAATATTAATTTGTTTACTGAGCAACTATATTACTATGTGCTAGGTACTGTAGATAGAGATAAGAATAAGAAATAGTCTCTGACCTAAGGGGACTCAAAATCTAGCTAGGAAAATATTCCACCTTAGAGTTTCCAAGAATCTTTTTCAAATATCTTAACTGCTCTGATCTTTACAAGCATTCCTTGAGGGAGACAGGACAAGAATTAGTAACACTATTTTTGGAGACTAGAGAGTTTGGTTTTGGTTTTTTTTTTTTAATGTGTATGAGTGTTTTGACCCACGTGTATAAGTTCACTATGTGCATGCCTGGTGGCTGCAGAGGCTGGAAGAGGGTGTCAGATCTCTTGGAACTAGAGTCAAGGATGGGTGTTAGCTGCCATGTGGGTCCTGGGAACTAAACCCTCTTCCTCTGGAAGAGCAACAAGTGCTCCTAACCACTGAGCCATCTCTCCAGCCCCCATACTTTAAAAAAGAAAAAATTAAATGAGTCAGTATAGGTGTCCCGATTCCAGTCCAAAGCCCTCTATGCTAAGGAGTGCTGCCCTATTGTCTCCTGTATTAATTTTTCTTTCATTTTCATCAAATAAGGACACAGTATAAACAGGGTAGCTATGCATAGAGATGTAGTTTCTGCCTCTTGTCAGGCCACTAACTCATGTTTCTTCTCCAAAGCCTTTTATTCCTTTTTACATTTTTATTACATTGATGCTTTGATTGGAGGGCGGGGCTATGTGTACAACTTGCAAGAGTTGGTTGTCTTCTTCCACCATATGGGTCCCAGAGATGAAACTCTGAGGTCAGCCTCCTTTACCCTCTGAACTATCTAGCTACCCCCAAAGCCTTCTGGGTTTTTGGTTGTTTGTTTGTTTGGTTGGTTGGTTTTTGTTTTGATTTGTTTTTTGCATGAATCTCTTCTAGCCTACCCCCACTCTCCTGCCCTGTCCTGCTCTGCCTTTAAAGGGAGACAAAGAGGCTGGAGAGAGGGCTCAGCAGTTAAGAACACTGGTTGTTCTTGCAAAAGACCCCGGTTTGAATCCCAACACCCACATGGCAGCTAACAACTGTCTGTAACACCAGTCCCAGGGGATCGGAGAGCCCCTTCTGTCCTCCACAGTCACTGCACAACACGGGTGCATTTACCTACATGCAGGCAATACACACATACACATAAAATAAAAATAATAAATAAAATATTTAAAAAAATAAATGGAGACAAAGGCGTGTGAATTGCATGTGCTGAGAGCTGTGAAAAGCACACGTTTATGTTGACTTTGTCTGCACAAAGGACTCAGTTGCATTTCTTTTGCATTTCTACTACTTCTCTAGAGAGTAGACTGTCTAAAACCAACAACTTCCTTCTCAGAACTGGAGAATGTATCTATGCCCCATCTGGTGTCTCCCACCACCTTCTTCAAGCTTTTCAGCTTTTCCTCTCTTGGTTCACTGTTTACAGGTGTGGCCAAGAACAACCTTATTCAGCCACATATGATTCTGACCCTTATCCTCACCACGGTCCTCTGTATGATTCCTGTGATTGGGTATAACGTTCTCAAACCACTGCTCTGGCCTCTCAGTGTGGACAAGGTGAGTGGAGCAGGACACCTACACAGATCTGTGGATAAAAGCCTTCTCCCCCCACCTCCTTGCTCCAGATGTAGGTTCTGAACAGGACTCATTACTACATGAAACATCCACTGCCATCCCTGTCCAGGCCAAAGTGAAATTCCCAGGCCTTCGACGCTCAGCCTACGCATTCTCCCACAAACATGGCTTTGAGGCCCTCATCACTTCTGGCAAGACACTGAAGTCCAAGACCTTCAAATGAAGCAAGATTTCCTTATACAAAGCAGAGGCCAGTAGGGAAACCCGCACACAGTCAGGCATTGCTCTGTCTCCCTCATATTTATGCAAATTAGTAAAAGAGGGATTAGAGCTCCCAGGAAACCTACTCTCAGGGCCTTGGCTTCTTCATCCCCCTGAAAGCTGCGCCAGGAAAGGCAAGGAAAGAGATATAAGCCTCAGAGTCTGCCAGAGTTGCAGCATTTCAAGAAAAAGCAAGCTAAGGCCTCCCACTGTTCCTTCCAGGCTTTAATCCTGACAAGCAAATGTGGAAGTAAAGGGTGGAGAGGGAGAGTGTGCAGCCGGGATAAGAGGGCTGAGAGTCTTCAGGCCCCCAAGCAACTGTCAGCCTTCCCAGCACCCCACAGGATCCCATTCTCACCCAGGTACCATTTTCAGGTTTATCTGGAAGATTCAGGGTGCCAGAGTGAGTAATTCTGCTGGCTCTGGGTAGCAGAAAGAGGAGGTCGCTATGAAGACTTGGTCTTAAGAAGCTGGAGGACAGTTTCTAGACCAAAAAAAAAGAAAAAAGAAACATAATGGAGGCGGGTCCTGCCTGGATAGGACAGCTCAAAATTTAGGCTTCTTCCCCATTCTCTGACCCCTTTGACCAAAGAATTGACACTTATTCAGGTCTTAGAACTGGGAGGGGAATAATACAGGGGATAAAAAATAATAATAATTTCTTGAGGGGATGCAAGCCATAACTGGTGAGCATTTGTCTTCTATTCCATAAAATTATTTTGAGAAGAAATCATATGTACTTGGAAAATTGTTTCTAAGAAGTTTGTGGAGAAATAAATGGAGGAATAAATTATTGCCTATTTTGGAGTGGAGAGATTTGTATCGTCTATTGATGCCCCAATGACAATAATATAATCTGAGCGATATCATTGGCCTATGAACCCCCACTGCCTTCGTCCTTCAAATTGGACTGTTCCCACCCCTCTCGTTTCTCAGCTGCACTCCACTTTTCTGCCCCATCTTGCTAAAGTCTAGTTTGCCCTCTAGTCTAACCACGTCTTATAACTACATAGCTCCATCCCCTTTGTAGCCTCCAGTATATGCTTCTAAATCTCAATCATAGGTTCCCCACCCCCTCTGTGCCTTCATCATATGCCAACAGAAAGACAATTCTCAGCTCTATCCAGTCCCTGTCCCTGCTGAGGTCTAGATTTGTATAGTAAATGAGTCTGAGACCCTTCACTTAATTTAGCCTCTGAAAATGCAAACCCAATGTGCCCAACCCATGCTAACTACTTTCCCCCAGATTTTACCAGGATGCCACCACCATCATACCAGTCACCCAACAGAATGATGGGAATCATCCTTCACTTTTCCTCCGGCTACATGTCCAATCAACCATTAAGTCATATAAACTCTTCATCCTTGTTTCTTGTTTCCTGTTACTTCCTGTTAATATAATACCATTGCCTTCGCTCCGATTTTTATCACCTCTTACCTGGATTCTGGAGGGGAAACATTTTAAAACTCTCCCAACCCATTTCTCTGATTCTTCTCTGTCTAAAGCGTCCCCAATTACTATTTCCAAGTAACCTTCCTGAAATGCAAATGAGTTCACGTCAACCCCAGCTTAGCATACTTTGAGGGCTTTAGATGCTTAGTTACTGGGCCTTCTCTAGCCTTCAACTGCTTCTCCAGGGACCCTCACCTGTCGTGAGATTGCTGGTCTTCTGCCACCAAGCACAATGCTCCCATATCCTCAAATGCACTTTCCCTCCCTCTTCATCTCCTGTCTTATCCTTCAAAACTCAGATTAGTTGGAATTAGAGCAATGATCTAATTTAGTTTCCTGTTGTTGTGATAAGACATTCTGACCAAAAGTGTCTTGGAGAGGAAAGGGTTTATTTGGCTTACACCTAAAGGTCACACTCTATCACTGAGGAAAGCCAGGACAGGAACCGGGAGGCAGGACCCATGAAGAAATACTGCTTACTGGCTTGCTCAAGGGATGGCACCACCCACACAGTGAGTTGGGTCCACTTATATCAATTAGTCATCAAGAAACTGCACCCACGGACATGCCCACAGGCCAGTCTGATGGAGACAATCCTTCAGCTGAGGCTCCTTCTTCCCAAGTGTGTCAAGTTGACAACCAAGATTAACCATCACAAGCAAACTGTTGAACAACTTTGAATGTGTTAAATGCCACTGAACTATACATCTTAAAATAGTTATGTGACATTCTGCTCACTATGGGACTGGCTGTGTAATACAGGCTGGCCTAGAATTCACTACATAGCCTAGGCTGACCTCAAATGCAGAATCTTCTTGCTTCCCAAGTGCTGGGATTATAAACATGTGCCACCATACCCAGCTTTGATTGCAAAACATTTTTCAGGCATTTATCCTAGTTCTTCAATGTGATTTATATACCTGCCTTGTTTATTCCTGTGATCAGTGGCACTTATCAAAAGACTGTGTAATCACTGATTTACTTTCTATTCCTACCATATGCCTTTAGTAAAAGTCTGTTGAATGAATGGAATGGAAAAATACTGAAGGATGCTGCTTTGCCTACATTTCTTTTTTGGTTTTTGTTGGTTGGTTAGTTGGTTGGTTAGTTGGTTGTTTGGTTGTTTTTTTGGTTTTTGAGGCAGGGTCTCCCTATAGCCCCACCTTGCCTGGAACTCAATATGTAGACCATGATGGCTTCAATCACTCAGAGATCTATGTGCCTCTGCCTCCCAAGTGCTGGGATTAAAGACGTGCACCACCATGCCCAGCTACCTGTATTTTTTTTAGTGTGTGTGTGTATATGTGTATGTGTATGTATGTGTGTGATCTATGTGCCTCTGCCTCCCAAGTGCTGGGATTAAAGACGTGCACCACCACGTGTGTGTGTGTGTATATGTGTATGTGTATGTGTGTGTGTGTGTGTGTGTGTGTGTGTGTATGACTTTTATAATATGGACATAATCTGGGTTAAAGACTTTTACCTAACTCTGCAACCCAAAAGTTACTACTTATAATGTAAACAAGCTCCCTGAGCCTTGTGACCTGGGCATATTGAACATATGACCTTAATTCCTCAGGACCCCTCCTTGCCTCCACCCAAGATAGTGTATGAATGTGTGTATGTATGGCTTGCTCCTCTGGCCTATGTTCAGCCTGCTTTTAAAAAAATTATTTTATTGATTCAAGTCTTTCATAGATCAAAATATATTTTGATCATATTCAGACCCCCTCTCCCATCTCCACCCCCACCCCCCAACTTCATGTTCTCTATTAACAAATGAAGAACTCCATCCATCTTACATAACACATTCGAACTAGGCGCCAGAGAAATAATAGCTCATTAGAGTGTCAGTAATCTATAATTCTTACACACAGATGGGACAAGTAGGGGCCACTCCCTTTCCTTTCTACATGGTTTTGGGTTAAAATATACCCAGGTTTCTTGGAATGGAATTTTCACACTTGTTTTCTGTTTCTCTTACACACTGCTTGGGATTGTCAAGTAGGGGTTTCTCTCTTCCTCAGCCATCAGAAAAGCTAGGGTTTCCTCATCAAAGTCAGTTATTCATAGCCCAAGTACATGCAGGTTGCACTTTGGCTGTTTCAGGACATCACTCAGTACAATCACCCATCGTGGTTCAAGGCATTCTCCAATAGGTTGATTCCTCACAGGGTTTTACTGTGGGTAAAAATAGGAGCTAGGTCCCCACAGCAGGGGCAGTTAGCTCACAGGCCTCCAACAAAGATTTTCTGAGTGGCAGTTAGGTTGTTTCACATCTTCACACAACAGCTTTGCCCTGTGTCCCCTAGCTGGTCTTCTGACATCTGTAGAGTTCTCAAGTTACTGTTACTGCTGAAGACTTCAGCTGGGTCTTGACAGTCACTGGATGATGAAGATGGCCAGGCTGACTATGGATGCCTTGTGCAGTCGCCACTCACAGGCCCAATCTCAGGCAAGAGAGGTGCACCAGGGTTAGGAATGATGGGGTGGTCACAACAACTTCCTGGTTGCATCCACTACCTGGCCCCTCACTTAAGTTTGGTAGCAGGAGCCTGGAAACCCAGCACCCCAGAGGCATGGGCGGCAGGCAGCCAGGTTGAGGGCATGGCTCCACCCATGGGGCAAGGGCAACCAAGCCAAGGCATGGTTCTGCTTGCTTGAGGCTCTGCCCACTGGGTTGTGGTCAGCCAGGCCCAAGTGTTTTCTTCCTCATAGTCAAGGATCCAGTTGGTCCTCTTGGTGTCTATTGCCCTCACATCTTCCTCCATGTCTAGGGGGAAAGTGATGAGACATCTTACCAGAGCCACGTTTTAAGTCCTTGTGCCGAGAGTTGCTTCCATGCTGCCGGCATTGCTCTGGCACCCACAGCTCACCACCGCCATCTTGTCTCTCCAGTTACTTTCTTTCTGAACATTTTGTATTTCTTTCTGCCCCACTCACTCTTTTCATTGCAGATCTGCATAATATTCCCCATTAATAACCACGCTGAAGATTCAACATTAGGCTGTCCTGAAATTCCCTCAGCCAAAAAAATTAGTCTATTACTTTTTAATTTAGCTTCAGACAAGTTCTAAGTCTTTGGACAGACAACAGCCAGATTCTTTGCCAAAACATCCCAGTTACTAAGTCCTTGTTTCCATCTCCCTCTGGAACATCTTGAGCTGGGCCTCTACTGGAACATCCCATTACTCTTCTTACAGCATTCAACCACTATCCAAACTTCCGAAGTCTATCACAGTCCTCCAAAAAACCAACATGTCCGGGTTCTTCACAGCAACAGCCCACTCTCTAGTATCAACTTCTGTATTAGTAACATTTCTGTGGCTGTGATAGAACACCATGACCAAGGAAACTTACAGAATGAAAAGTTTATTTGACTTATGGTTCCAGAGGGATGAGTGTATGATGGTGAGGAGACATGGTGGCAGAGGCAGCCAGAGCAGAAAGCCGAGAACTCATATCTTCAAGCACTTACAGGAAGCTGAGAGGACAAACTGGAAGTGGGC